TCCTTTAGGGATAGAGCTCGCGGGTCTGTAATAAATCACATCATTAGCATCTCGCACTTGTGCTGGCTGACATTTTCCACGGCTCATTTGTGATTTATGCATAATGCTGGGAAACGGCTCTGTCCAAATTTGTTTGTTGACACGCACCTCCTCTCAAGCTTGCCACAGCCCTCGCAGATTTCAGGACTATCAATCCCCAAGCCACACACACACACACACCCACACTCGTAGTATTAGTTGCCTTTAACCCTGACTTGAGTATTTAAGTACTTGTGGTTAGAATTTACATGCAGCTAGTTCTTTTTAAAGGTCATTTACCGTTATTAGCATATGTGCTCAATGCATTTGGTTTATAAGGTACACGAAAAAAACAAACGGTAAGTGTCACCTTATCGGGCCAAACAAAGCATGACGTTGCCAGTTGGTTATACATTGTGGGTGTGGGGATGTGATGGTGTAGGGGTGTCAAAGGGGCCAAGTATGTTGCCTAGTGTGAGAATTTCCAATGCGGCATGTGGGTTCTCAACTGTAAAACAGCTGTAAGCACAAGAAAAAGGAGGCATCAAAGTCTTTCGAAAAGCGTGATCGGAACAGCTTATATTTTTTGTTTCTACTTTATCTCTATATATAAAACTGTTTGTCCTGACTGACTGACTGACTGACTAACTGACTGACTGACTGATTGGTGATCAACGCACAGCCCAAACCGTAAGAGCTGGGAAGCTGAAATTTTCACTGTAGTTACCTTATGTGATGTAGGTGCACGTTAAGACGGGGTTTCGGGAAATTTCCCCCGCAAGTGCGGAAAAATCGCGAAAAACGTTTGTATGTAACTTTTTTTTTACCATCCGATCGGTATCATCCGATCAAATTCTTTTCCAAAGATCTATTAGAAAAATCATTTGAGACGTGTTTCACATTTTTCGCAAAATCCAAACTTTTTCGGGTGGAATGCGATTTAAAGATTTTTTGGGCGAAGTTTTAAGTTGTGTCCGATTTGCTTCAAACTTATTTTCAAAGCTCTACGTAAGAATTTAATAAATACGTATTTCAGCGATTTGGGAATTTCCACCCGCAACAGTGGTAAATTGGCGGAAAACGGTTGTATGAAAGTTTTTTGTTTACCATCCGATCGGCCCCAAACTAATTTTCAAAGATCTATGTTCAAATTCATTTGAGGGGTGTTTTACACCTTTTGAAAAATCTTTCCCTCCTTGGTGCAAATGGGGGTCGAAGTTTTGGTGGATGACGTTTTGTATTTAAATTTATTTCCAAAGATCTATAAAAAAAATCATTTGAGACGTGTTTCACATTTTTCGCAAAATCTAAATTTTGTGAATTTTAAGTTTTGTCCGATTTGCATAAACGTTGTTTGATTCCCGTCAGATCAGTTTCAAAATCATTTTTAAAAGTTATTGATTTTATAACAAACCTGCCACGGGCAAGGCCGGGTTATACCGCCTAGTTTACGATCTATCTCTTCGATAATAAGTAAATTATGTGGTGTAGATATTTGCATGTGGTTTTTGTGTGTATTGGCACTGGTATTTTAGACGGTCTCAACACTCTTTAAGCCCCCTAAAAGGCAGGTCGAGTGGGTGGTGTCCCTTAAGTCTGTAAAACAGCTGAAAGCACAAGAAAAAGGAGGCATAACCATGACTGCAAACGTGATCGGAGCAGGTTATATGAAAATCCTTTTCAATTAGATGTTTTATCAAGCTTAAAAAGTTTTGAATATGGAAAACATTCCTTGTATGTTTTATTCAATTTGATATTTTATCCATAAAACTTTAATTTTAATGAAATAAGCGTTGCCAGACTTTTTTTTGTTGGAATATTAGCTTTTTTCGCGAACAAGAAGAGTATTTTCATTTGACTTGATTTCGCGTAATGATATAAAAAAATTAATTTTTCTAATTTATTAATTATTGTTTAATGATTTAAATAAATCTCAGTTTAGCTGTATTTTTGGTATAAACATGCTTGAAACGCGTGTTAACAAATTTGTGACGTCTATGCAAGGTTAAGGTTAAAGTTCCATATAAATCACAGGCACATGCAACCCGCGAGCACAGTATTGAAAATGAAATAAATATAAAAAAATATACAAATGTACATGTTTTGTATTTTTAATAAATTGAAAATTTGTTAATGAGGTAGAACGTGGAAGAAACCAAAAATGAAGAAAAAAAATGTACAATGTATAAGAAACAAATACACACACACGAATTAAGGTTATATAGAAAACGCACATATGCATATAGTATGTAATGTAATGAGTATATGGGAGCCGGAGTATATAGAGCCAAGTATTTCAAAGTGTAAACAAAAATCGTACGTCGGCCTCTGGCATGTGTCCCAACCCTAGTGAGAGGCAACGCGATGTCGTCGCCTGCCAACATTGCGATCTGTTCGCGTTATCAGTCTGAATTTTTCGATTTTTATTATTAATATAAGTATGATTTGAAAATTGCCACAGAGGTTAACTGAAATCAGAGACACGTCGTGCCCAATGAGCCGACGGACGACCCACTTGAGAGTCGCCTGCTTTTTAGTTTTGGGCATCGTAAAAATGTTGTCGAAATGTCCAAACAGATCGTTGGTGCCGCCTATTCAAATAACGATAAAAATGCCATTAAAACCTATTGGGCCTCCGGAGATCTTTTACGACTTTGCCTCGTCCTGGTTGAAATATAACAATTTTTTAATCAGCCATTAGAACAGTACTCAAGTACATAGACGCATTGTCGTCATCCACATCGATTTTATGACTTTTCGACAACATTTTGGCGCGTCGTCTCGGGAATTGGCAAACGAGACCGGCACAAGTGAAAGACTCTCTACTCCAAGTGAAGTGTGTGGCTTTTCAAGATTTTCATTTCTCTTTTTATTTTCTCACGGCGCCTTTCGCCCTGGCTCCAGCTCCGGGCATGTCCTTGGCGCGGCGTATGAAATTCAACACGCGTCTCGTACGATACTCTATTTTATGTTTCTGTCTTGATGGGCATGAAAATGTTCCATATACGCATGTTCTTTCAATTTTCGAAAATTTTCATTTTCGATTCTCGCTCTTGTTCCACAAATTATAATTTTACGCACAATTTGAAAGAGTTGCCATGAAACGCTCCAGTGTTATTAGCCAAATCAATATTAATGACTACATGGCATACATGACATACATTATTGGGTAAACCTAGGTTAGTTAAGGTTAACCTCGGTGAGTAAAATATCTAATCGCATCCAGTTCTATTTTTTGCTGGCTAGCCAAAAAAGAAAACATATATGAGTCTTATATTTATCCTATTTTCACTGAATACGTATTGTTTCTTTTTCTTGGCTTGGTTGGCAGAATCCATTTGAAAATAAAAGTCAAGAAGTGTGGCCTTTGATCTTTTTGATAAAGATATTTTTCTTTCAAACATACAAAACAGTGTACAAATCAAATAACATAAAAAATTAAAAATTCTTTTTAATTAAAAGAAACTGTACGTAATTTTAAGCATTTGAAATATTTAATTTGCTTGGTATCTGATCAAACGGCCCTTCCTTTTCCTTTGGCTCACTCGACTAGTGGTAAGACATCCATTTTCTGGTCATGATATAAGCTAATATCGTGATAGGATCTCTGATTGGAAACTTTATAACATCGTTTCCCATCCGCTAGTGGGCGGTGTGGGATGGGTATGAACGATACATCTGAGCTACCCTTAGCAATCGTCTGTTATTTGTCGTTCGATTCGGATTTGAAAACTTCTGCACACCTTCAGAAATATCAAAAAGCCCAATATAAAACACTAACAAAGTCGTTAAAAAAAAAACAAACAATTTGGCAATGGAAATGGGTGATATATCATATTTTTTTTACTTCTATCACGCATGATCCTCAATGGAACTGAACCTATGCTCCTACAACAAAGATTTACCTCTTGGCATACCTCTTCGCCGTGATCATTTCTACAAAGATTTCTTGGACAAAAGAATTGAGATCTGCATTCATATCTTGCTAGAGTTAATTAATGTACATATGTACATATATCAATTTCTGAAGCACTTAGCTCCACTCAACTATAAAGTAGAAAAATTGTATTATTTAAGTTCTTAAATCTGTTCGTGGATTTAAAATTTTTAAAATGTTTAACTTATACGATGCGAGTTGTTTGTATACATATGTATATACACTGTATATATATAAATATATATATATATATGTGTATACATATATATACAGAACAGTACTTTACGCTGGCAACAGCCAACCACAACAACGACATTAAAAGCAACAGCAACAACAACACCAACAATCGAGCTGCACTTAAACAGCACAATAACAAATTTGCCTTAGCAGGCCCGGCTTTGGTCTGCCTCCCTCGTGCGTTGTGTTGCGTTTGAGAGGCGTTGCTTAAAACGGTTGCCTGAGCGAGAGAGAGATAGCGAAAGTAAATGACAAAGAGCCGTACGGTACGACGAATGTGCGATAAGGTCGGTTGCCTGCTGTCGGCAGCAGCAGGCAATATTGTTGCAGTCAAACCAACAACAATAGCGATATTCGAAGAGAGTGCGAACGAAAACAGTGAGGCAAGACGAACACCGAATTGAGCTCCAAAGAGAGAGAGAGAGCGCGAGTGTCAATGTGAGCGCCAAGTGTAGTTTGTGATTGCTGTTTTTGTTATTGCGGCTACTGCTGCTATTGATGTCGCGCGCAGGCGTTAGAAGCTGTACACAGAAAACAGAAACATGCATAATGATTATGATTATAATATAACGGCATGTAGAGCAAAGGCAAAGTGCAAAGCACAAAATGTAATTGTATGAATGGAGGCAAACAAGTGTGGAAGAGAACCAAAAGGAGAGAGAGTTTGGGATGTTGGGATTTGCTTTTGTGCTTATTCCATCTACATACGTATGCATGTATTTGAATTTGTGTAGTGGCGTTTTAAAAACATTTTTTTGTATGATTTTTGTTCGTTTCGAAATTAAGCGTGTGCTGAGCTCAGTTTGTATGAAAAACGCGCCGGACTCGGACACGTACGTTAATTAGCGCGGATCATTTATAAATTCTAGGCGGGTGCGCTTGCCTGAAAAAGTTTTGACTAACTGAAAAAGTTTCAGCTTAGCTTTGCCTGCGTGCACAGTACAGTGTGTATTGGATAACATGACCAAGACTAACAAAGCAAAGGACAAGGACAAGAGCAGTGCAATGCCGCGTGTGCCCAGCAATTTGCTGGCGAGTGCTGCCAAAATGAAGATCACCAAAGCGTTGGTCAATGCCAAAAAGCAAGCAGTGCAAAAAGGAGCGGGCGGCGACAAGGCAACAGGATCAAATGCAGCAGCGACAGCAGCAGCAACAGCCACAACCACAGCCACAGCATACGGTCAAGCGCAACAGGCGTTCGCTGTGAAAGAGACGACAATAGCGGCGCAGGAGAACGGCGACAGCGACAGCAACGACGCGCATAAGCAGCAGCAACAACAACAAGCAGCGACGTCGACGTCGCCGTTGTCGCCGCTTGCCACAGCGAATTTATCGTCGACATTTGAGTCGAAGGCTCACACATCAGTTGCCAGCGAAACAGCGAAGCAAGCGGTTACCAGCGCAGCAACACCAACAGCAGCAGAAACAACGGCAACACCAACAACAACAATCGCAAATACTTATGTTTATGCTGAGAACAGCGTAAGGCAGCAGCCCAACAGTTGTGACGTCACTAGCAAAGTTGTGGCAGACGAAACGGCTAATAACAATCAAGATAAAGTCGAGCCCAGAACTGAGAGTAAAACGAAGCTAGATACAGATGCAGCAGCAGCTACAATAACAGCAAGCGATAAATATTACAAAATCGTTGATAAGTGTAAAAGTGAGATAAGTGATGAAAACACAACAGCAACAACAACAACAGCAACAATTTTGCCGGTAGTAGTGATAAATAATAATCAGCTAAGCGACGCGAGTGAAAGTGTTGACAACAAAATCAAAAGTGAAACAAACGAGCAAGAACAAACAGCAACGGCAGCAGCAACAGTAACAACAACAACAGCAGCATCCGAATTGCCGCTACATTATCGCGGTCTAAACAACTCGGTGATTATAGCCAACTATGCGCATCAGCAGCAGCAGCAACAGCAGCAGCATCAGCATCAGCAGCAGCATCAGCAGCAGCAACAGGCAGAGCAAGAACAAATCTACGAGCAGCAACAGTTTTTACAGCAGCAGCTTTTAAATCAACAGCAACAGGAGCAACAGCAGCAGCAGCAGCAACAACAACAACAACACGCCAGCTGGTTGGCCTACAACAATTGCGCTTACGACTTAACCAGCAGCAGCGCAGCGGCAGCAGCAGCAGCGGCGGCAGCAACACAGCAGGAAAAGAGTGAATTTTATGCTTTGGCTGCCTCTCAGCAATTGTTGGCGCATTTTCCCTATCACCACACGCATTTGTACGAACAGCAGCAGCAGCAGCACAGCGCCAGCAGCACGGATCCCATAATGCGCAACAACTTTACGCTGTACAGCGTTTATGGTGGTGGCGGAGGAGGAGGCGGGGGCGCCGGCGGTGTCACGCCTACCACACACGAGCAACATCAGCTGCAGCAACATGTTGCCGCTGTGGCAGCAGCAGCCGCCAATTCGGTAATTGTCCACACAACACACACAACGCCCAACATTGATGAGGTCATACAGGATACGCTGAAGGATGAGTGCTTCGACGATAATCACAGCTCGAGCTATCACATGCTCACCGCCGTCTCCGATCTGCAGGTGCTTAAGGAGGCCAATGCAGCCATTTACTCCATGACGCACGATCAGTTGCTGCAACAGCAACAGCAGCAACAGCAGCATCTGCATCAGCATCAGCATCAACACCATCATCACCATCATCTAACGCAGCAGCTGCAGCATCATCATCCCCATACGCAGCAGCATCACAACAACTCGGCCAGTTCGGTGGGCGGTGACTCGCCTTCGCCCTCCCACACACTCGCCGCACATGCCAGCGATGTGGCAACGCTGCAAAGCTTTACACAGCTTACAAGCGCGCCACCGAGCAGCGGGCTGCATCGCGACAGCTACGGCAGCCTCTCGCCGGACCACGGCAGCTATTTCTCTACACAGCTCAGCCCGGTGCTGCAGACCAGGTAAGTCCCTACACAGTTCACGCCATACCCCCCACCCTGCCCTCTAAAACCTATGTCGAAACTAGCTCATTATTAGCTGTCGACTCGCACGTGCCTTTCGGCGAAAAACGCATCGCCGCTTCGACGACTCGCACAGCCAAAAGTCATGATCAATTGTAGTTGTTGTTGTTGTTGTTGCTGTTGTCGTCGGTTTCTGATTCATATTATTATTTTTGTTTTTTTTTTGCCGTTCCGACTTTGATTTTGTGTTACGTTTCTTTATACTCGTCATAGGTAATAATAACAGCAGCACAAATGTCACAATTGTTGCACTTGTTGTTTGCCTGCCTCCCCCAATACCAATACTAATGCCAATACCAATACCAATGCATATGTATATAGCTATAGCCAAAGACGACTTCTAATACATTCGCTTATGGCATTCTCAGGTGGTTTGCATTCTATGTACATACATATGTATATACTACATATATTTATATATATACGTACGGCGAAAAATCTGTTCCATGTTGCATCTTTCACTGGGGGCGTCTCGCACCCAGTTGCCTGCTTTAACTGACTTTGGAATGTTTTTCTACATTTGTTTTTTTACAGTTGTTTTGTTTTTTTGTCATGCACATTTTCGCTTTGCTACGCAGAACTCTTGAACCGAACACATGCATACATACACACTTGCACACATGCAGTTAGTGGGGCAGGTTAAAGCTATAGTATATCCATCTGACTACTCGACTGAATAATAATGGAACACTTTAAATACCTTGATGGAATGACAAAAACGAAAATCGAAAAAAAAAGAAATAAATATATTGGTTGCCTATTTTAAAATTAAATTTTTACTGAGCACCACAGTTTGAATATAATAATATAATTTATATAAAAAAATTCAATTCAATAACATAAAATTATTAATAACAATTTTTATTTAAATATATCCGAACGCATCAAAATACGACATTATACAAAAAATGTATTTCTTAATATTAAAAAATGAAAAGTTTTAAAAACAAATTTGCTCCTATTTTCTAACTTTGGTTTTATTATTTACAAAATATTCTTATCAAAGCTGCTCAAGAAATTTTACACAAATCGGTTATCGACAGATTATTTGTCTATAAGGAATATATAGGAAATTTAGTGATAGTTCGATAAGCTGTTCACATTGGTTTCAGAGTGGACTGAAAATTGCGAAAATGTCTAAGAAAACGTGTTACCAAAATGACGATTATTGTTTTTCGACAAGTCCAGGAACGAGAGTTGAACATTTCAAGCGATTACTTTGCTCCTGATCAAAATGCACGCATAATTTACCCCAAAATTAGACAGCTTTTAAACGTACCTGTAAATCAGTTTTTCAAGTAAGAACACAATTTCGCGGTACAAAAGTAAATAAAATCCAAGTTTTCCCTTGAAGATATTTTGATAACTGAGTAACTTGGAAACTTCTGATAAAACAATCAATCCTTCAAACCTTCAGAAAAAGTCATATACTCTCGGAAGGTATCCGAACACAAATATTTAAATAAAATTTATATAAAAGATGAATGGAAATAGATTAAATATTTTCATATTACGTTCATTTCTAAAGGAACGCATCTACAAAATATTATTTTAAGTCTTTAATTGCAAAGTTCTCAATCGTGCAGAAAACAGTTCTCTTAATGTTAGATCATTGCTAAATGTAATTTTTAAAGCTATACAACACTGACATTTTATGCCCTTTTGAAGAATGCCCCAGATAAGCGTTGGCTAATTATAGAATTGTCTTTTTAAATGCCCACCTTAAGCACGATCAAAATAAACAATTTCACAAAAAACGTTTTACTTGCATGTTTTTAAATACAATTCGTTTACAATTTCGCACTGCGGATTTTGAGAGACGCGCCTTTCCAGCCATTCAGAGCTTCCTCCTAAAACGAAAAGAAAAAGAAAAAAAGTCCAAAGGCAAGCAAAATATTGTAAACGTTCGCTCCGATTTCATAAACAAAAACAAAAACATGCAATGTGTTAATTGCGGGTATAACTGACTTTGGGGCAGCTTGGGCAGTTTGAGTCGATCTGCTGACTCATGAGACTGCCCCCAAGTTGCACACACACACACATTCATCTTTTCTCCCCTTGTACATGTATGCGTGTGTCTCTGTCTCTCGACTGAATCATAAATTGGGGGTGGTGAAAAACACACATGTTGGACTTTTGCCTGGTTGACTAACTGAGCCGGCGCGAAGGCCCACAGAATGTGGCCAAAAAAAGAGGTGGTAGTCATGCTGGTTAAGCTGCTGCTGGCAGCAACACGTGTCCAACATTTTAGGGCTGCGCACGTGCCACAAACGGCAAATGTGGCATATGCCAAAGGGGGGCATGACCCGCATTAGGCGGCAAACAAACAACAATTCGAAAAGAAAACCTGCGCTCAGCAAATGCAACAAAAATGCAATAAAAGCGCATTTTTCCAACTTGTTCTGCATATTCGGTTGCAAACTGTGTCTGGTTGTCGGGAGGATCCCGCCGTGCCCACTGAGTGTAGCACCTCCATGAGCTCTGGTCTCCGAACGCAATGGGACTTGGACTTGGACTGGGTAATTCAAAGCCGGCTTATGACATAGAAAACTGTAACGAAATGACACAGCTTCAAACAAAAAATAAAAATAGAAAAAAACATCAGTTGGCTCAACTTCACAGGGTTGTCGCTGCGACTGAGTCAGCAGACGACGCTCCGCCCTGCTCCGTTCTGCTCTGCTGCGGTGGCTACCCTGACGACGGGCCTCTAATATTCGAGCGGGTGAAAAACTCCCTGGACCCGCACAATTTGCTGTATTTATTTGTTCTCGGTTTCCCAATATTTTTGCATTTTAGCTTTTCTTTTTGACCAGTTTTAATTGGAAAACGTGTTTTGCATACACACAATTACACCAAAATAGCCATAACAATATATACATGGCCATATATATATGCACATATTCCTACCGATGTGTGTATATAAATATGGCTAACTACAACTAAGTACTCGTATACATATCAAATTTTACACAGATTGTCAATAAAGCTGGGTTTATGCTTTTGAGTGAAGGCGCGGTATACAAAATAAATTGCCTACTTCTGGTTTCAAGACTGAAGCCACATTTAGGCTGTATTTATTTCTCATTTAAGTAGGGAGCTGGCTAATGCCGACTAGGGTATCATTTTTTTTGAGCTAGGTATCTTGAGTTCTCTGTTCACGGTGTAGTAACAGCTAAGCAGGGGGAGGAGAGTCTTCTCAAATGTGAGGTTGGCCTGAATCTGTAAATTAAAACCTCTGTGATATTGGAATATATAAATTTTGACTGGATATTTAATGGGGGATTGTTATTTAGCCGGGCGGATCCAAAAATCTTTCATTCATTTGAAGCAAATAAGTTCAAAGTTAGATTTTCGCTGGAAAAATTGTATACACAAAAAACCAATAAACTCTATTCACTCTTTTTCACTTTGTGTACAGTGTATAAAATGGCATCGACAATGAAATATATCTGCGAAACACCAAACATTCTAGTCTAAACTATTTGTCTCTCTCACTCTTCCTCTCTCTTTCCCCATCTCTATTTCGCTTTTTCTAGTTATTTTTAATTTAATTTATTTTTGAATAAATAATGGTGTGCTTTATTCTTTATATTCGTAAACGCTTGAAGATATCAGGTGGTTGGAAATTTAGGATAGTCCAGCCCATTATTTTGCTTGTCGTTTAACGATTCAAAATTAAATTAGATTTTAAAATGTAACCTTAATGATTGACATCATTATTATATTAATTGTTTATCATATACTTAACTTGGTAGATTCACTATTCTCTTATTTATTTATTTAATAAATACACAAGAGCTAAGTAATCTTAGAACTAAACGTAAGTAGTATATCGCTGGCTGCTGAGGTCTTTGGCTACTTACGATTGGGAAAAGCTTAAATCGAGAAGCTTACAAAGAGATTCACTATCTTATCTGGCAGATATTATTAAAACTGTGCTAAATTGTTATGCTTATTATGATTTATAAGGTTTGGTTAGAGCAATAGTGGTCCGATAGAGATAAATAGAGAGAGAGAGAGAGAGAGAGAGAGAGAAAGAGAGAGAGAGAGAGAGAGAGCTCTTGGCTCGACCCACTCTGATGCTTAAATGACTGGGTCAATTTAAATTTTGTATTATAGTTGATTTTCTTAACTCATAGATTAGATTTAATCACATTTGTGTGTATATCAGAAGTGTGAATATCTCAATAGAAACAAGTCTCTCACCGGCACCATTGGGTTATAGTCCTTATCACCCAGTCTCTTTATGTCAAATCTTCATATTTATATATAATCTGGTACTCACTCTCTCAGTTCTAAGCTGGGTGACGAGCGCGTGTATGTGACTTTTGGTTAGTTTTGCATGCAGAAACCAGAAGAAGATACAAGATACGGTCGCTCACATATTCCACATGGAAAACAAGAAGTCTGCGCGAAATACTCACCTGCAGCAAACAGCCATAATAAATAGCAGCAGCAGCAGCAACAATTAACCGAACACCGATAAAATAATATCGTGCATTTTTATTGTCTTGACACTTCCTATGTACCGAGAACGCGACATCTCAAGCTACATATATACGTACATATATGTAGGTAGTATATGGGCAATTGTAATTGTTATATTCCAAGATTTGTCATGCTTTTTATTTAGTTATTGCAATTGTTGCTGTTGCTGTTGTCGTTGTTGTTGCCGTTGTTGCTATCAGTGCGCGTGTGTATCTAGTAATAATTGGGAGCGACTAGAATGACTTGGATACATTTATGCACATAGAGTCTTGTGAATTTTTAGAGTGATTTTTTCTTAGAAAGATTAATCTGGCTTTCGGGATGGGCTCATATGTAAGTTATTCATTAGATCTAAAGATCATAAGGGCATTATAATTTACTTAAATCAATTTTAGATATATATATACTGGATGCCCATTAACAGTCCAGATTGGTTAACTATATCATACGGTTTTTTGAGTACCAATAGCTCAAAAAAAGAGATTGTTGGGAGTATAGAAATCTGCTTTGGTATAAGAAATCTAGACTAAACATACTATTTACAGGGAATATTATTTTTCAAGCCCTTCTCCTTATTGGACTAGTAAAGCAGTTTTAAGTTTAAAAGTCCTGTCGCGCACTTAACTAGTAACCAATTTTCTTTTAGATCAATCCCAAGCTTTTAAGCCAAGTTCTTTTCTGCCAGCTCACGTTAGAACTAAAAACTTAGGGATACAAAAGAAGTACATAATACAAGGATTTAGTACTTGGTTTAATATAAGTCGAATTTACATTGGTTTTGGGGCACGATTAGGTTCGGTTAACATATTTTGCAATATTATGTTTGTAAGCGTATTGAATATTCGATGTTCCGAAAACCATTGATTATAGTATATATAGAAAGAGAGTGAAAGGATATTGGAGCTGGTTTGCGGGCAGCTCATCTGATGTGAACTAAATAGTGTATATTATTTGGAAGTGTTTGGTGTTTTGTTTGCTGTCAAATATTGTAACCGTTGTGTTGTTGTTGTTTTTGCACGGCTATGTACACCTCAATATGTGAAGTAATTATATGTAAGTGTGTCTGGTGATATTTGAATGCATGGGCTACCAACTGACAGCGCATCTTTAGATTTTTTGCTCAGACTATTTGCTGGCCAGAGCTGCGGCAGCAACAACAAGCAAACAACAACAGCAACAACAACAACAACAACAACATCGGGAAGCAGCGACGCTGGCAGCGCGAAAAGCGTCAACTGCAACTGGCATAAAACTAAACCCGACTCAAGTCATTATGCAAACGCGCGTGCCCCGTTTCGGTTGTTGTATCGTCTGACCAGTTGAGAGTATTTTGGCTTTGAGAATATTAAAAAATAAAATTAATAAAAATATACAAATAGTATATGCATAAATATATATATTTCAGTTACTTCGTGCTCCTGCGTGCGTGTGTGTGTGTCCCTGTTCCAATCATAAAAATTATATTTTGTATATTAGTTCACAATTCAAAAGGGCCGTAAAAGACAGTAGAGAATATTATTTATTAATTTTCAATTGTTTTTATGTGCAACCCAAACAATACGTAATACGTACTAATACATATCTTAGCCAACTGTTGCATGTGTGTTTGTGTTTGTGTTTGTTTATGTGTAGGTGTTGACCCCGTTTGAGATCTCTTAAGCTTTCTCTCCGTATCCATCTCCATCTCCTGTCGTTTGTAACTGCCACGCTTCTGCCAGAACAACTTCCGATCTTTGTGCCGCAGGGACTTTAACTGGCGACAAGACACGACAGACATTTGTCAAGTTCGCAATTTTTGCCTGGCTCATTGCTTTGTTTATGCTACAATAAGCCAAAAAAAGAAAAAAAATAATAATAATAAGAGGCGACACAAGCGGCCAAGTGTAGCGAAAATATTTGCACAGGCTACCGTTCGAGCAGCTTCGTAGGGAATTCGAGTCGTATAAACAAATGCTGCAACACTTTTATTTTTAATTAAAACTTTTATGGGTAAGCCCATACACACATACATACACACACACACCCACACAGCTCCTTATAAACATGCCAAAAGTTGACGCTGGTGGTCTAGCAAAAACACCAACAACAGCCACAACAACAACAGCAAACACATCAACAACAACAACAACATGACAGCTCTGTTATGTAAACAATGCAATGCAATGTTAATAGTAGTTTCATTTTACAAAAGCCGCCAATCGTCTTAACATTAACAGCAACTGTTAACAGAGCTCTAACAGCTGATTGAAGCGCAGCTGCTTTTCGAATCGCCACCAAAAACGCGCACAAATGCTAAGCGAGCGATTTTAAACGCGACCAAAGTAGAATCATAATCACAATTTCAAAAATTAAAAAAAATATAAATTAATTTTTATAAATTATCCAACATGTTTTTCTCCAACTACAATAATATGTATTTGAAGAACTATTGCTATAGGTAAATGAGAAAAAATGTTGTAGACTTAACAATATGTTTATTTAACAACAATATTATTTATATTTTAATGTTTCTCTCATTTCTGTTTACAGCTCTGTCTATGCAAGTCCTCTGCTCGCATCGGCCGCCAATGGCATGCAGTATGGCATGCAAACAATTGCCTCGCCGACCCACACACACGCCCAGCTGCAGCAGCAACATCACCAAAACCAGCAGCAGCAACATCAGCAACAGCAGCAGCAGCAGCAGCAACAACATCATCAGCATCACAATTCCACCAGCAGCAGTCCTGGCCCAGTGGGTCTGCACCACACGAGCGGCTCGGCGGTTGGGCACAGCTCGCTGCTGGACGACGGCTACGGATCGCCCAAAAGCAGCCACAGTGGCAACGGCGGCGGTGGCACCTTGCCCGCCTTTCAGCGCATCGCGCCGGCCAGCGGCGGTGCCGGCTATGGCAACGGCGTGGCCAATGGCTCTGGCAGCGGCGCCGAACGGGCTTCTGGCTACGCATCGCTGGCCAATTACCGCACACACGTAAGTCAAGGCAGGATGCCCTGCGTCTGTACAACTCAGATTTTTTAATGCTCTGTTCTGCTCTGCTCTGCTTTTTCTCTTTCTGCTAGCAGGCCGATGGTTGGAGTGGTCATTACGAACCAATTAGCTACGCGCCCAATGCCACCGGTCAGGGGGGGCAATTGGGTGGCAGCGGTGCAGCCGCTACCAATGTGATATGCAATCGACGCGCCGTTGCTGCCGCCGCTGCGGCCGCAGCCGCTGTCGATGGTGCCGCCAACGCCGTTGATCCTGCCCGCTTCCTGGCCAATGCCGCTCATCTGTCTGCTTCGGCATCGCTAACAGCAAGTAAGTGTGGCATCCACATATACATACATATACATAAATATAAACAAATCCTAGGCTAGCTTAGCATCTCAATGTACCACATTTGTCGGCCGTGTGGCCACAGAGCTAGTCTTTAGGTAGAATTTCACACTCAAACAGTTGTTCAGGCTGGCCACAAAATAGTCCATCTATTTGCGTAGCCTGTGTAAATCCTATTTGGGAACACAAAATTGTTGCCAACTGGACGCGCAATACAGACAAAATACTTAGCATTCGCTGCCAGTCTTTTATTTAACTATATATTTATATATACAATAGAACAGGACTAAGAGCAATCCAGCTAAATTTAAAGAATTATTGCAGAACTATGAGAATATCAATAAAAATGTTTTATTTGAGTTTTTAAAAGTTGAACGATGTTTGACTTTTAATCAAAAAAAAAAAAAATAGTAAATATGTCACAAATAAGTTTAGATTTTAATTTCCATAAAGTTATCAAGAGGTATCTTATTACATTTTTTAATCATCAAAATGTAACTTAACTTTTCTAAAAAGAGATAAAAAAAGTCATTATATAAAAGAAAATCTAAATGTTATCAGAACTGATTGTTTCTAAAGTTGTGTCTAGTCAGATTTAACTTAAAAGTTTTTAGCATATTAATGAAAATTGAACAGAAGTTTCTTAAGGTATTGTGGCATAGTTTCCAAATTTAGTTTTTTATAACAGATTTTGACTGTCATAAAAAGCAAATATATTGTCATAAAATTATGACCTAGAAGCGTTTTTACGCATTGAGAAATGAATTTTAGATTTATAATTTATATTTAAACTTGAAAAATGTTTAGACATTGAGAAATTCGATATTCGACACAATAATTTATATATATATATAAATAATTTATATATTTAAATTATTTTAATAACAAAATCGCATTAGTTAATGTAAATTTTTATTTAATTATTTAAGTATTTTTTACATACACATACATTTGTATCTCTAAGTATAACGTATAATAAATTCAATTAATTTTTTATCAACTCTTGAAAAAAAATACAACAAACACACAAAAAACAGTTGAACAAAAAAAAAATAAATAAATACTAATTTTATAAATAAATAAAATGCAATTCAAAATGTTTGCCACACACATACACATACATCTATACAAAGACAAAAAAATAATTACATGCCAAAGAAAAAAATATAATAATAATAATACTCCTAAACACTCGAACAACAAAATTGAAACAAATCAAATATCAATACAAATTTCGATTTTTCTATACTTGAATTTCCAAAGCATTACTCGATGCCGATTTTTTCACTGAGGGGCGAGAATGTGTCAATTGTGGTGCGATTTCAACCCCATTATGGCGACGCGATAACACGGGACACTATTTATGCAATGCTTGCGGCCTGTATCATAAAATGAACGGCATGAATCGACCTCTAATTAAACAGCCTAGAAGATTGGTAAATGTCAACAGCAACAACTACAACAAAACACAAAGTCAAAAACAACAACAACAACTACACGTATTACTAACAAAATCAAAATCAAAATCAAACCGAAATTTTGATTATTTGCTTTTGTGTGGAACAAAATTTTTAAGTACTGTTAAAGAGAAAAGATCTTAAATAATGGGCTCGAAGAACTTATAGAAATCCGCCAGCCAGACTGCAGCTTTGCGTGCAAGAACGTTCTCGCTTCTATCATTGAACAAAATCTGAACCCTTAAATATGGAACCAAGAAATGCATAAAGAGAAAATTAATTGAATTTATTATATTAGTCAAGCGCAAATTAGTTTTGTATGCCTGAAAAACAAAAAATCAACAACCAAAAAAAAAAAAACAAAAAAACCCAAACTAAAACCTAAAACAAACCGCTTTTCTTCATTACAACAAATTCTAATTGCATTATTACAGTGGCCGCTGAATCAGGCGGGGATTTCTATAAGACCTTCCCATTTAACGTGACCACCGGTAGCCGCAGTAAGGGCTCCACAAATGCCAACAGCGCTGCCGGTTCCGGCGCAGGCTCAACGTCAGCGACGACGTCGTCAGTGACTTCAACGGCGCTCGACGAGCACGTTAGTCGCGCCAATTCGAGACGCTTGGTAGGTCGTCCATTAATTACGAATAGCCAAACCAAACCAAACCAAATCAAACCAAAACAAACTAAACTGAACCAAACCAACCAATCTGCAAGCCAAACCAACCAACTAAAACCAACCAACCTCCCAATCAGAAATATTATCAGTAGCAAATAACTAAATCTAACATTACCCAAAACACACATTCTTTCTTTCTAGCATAACTAATTACATATTAAAAAGAACCCAGCTTAACAGTGATATATTACTTTTATTCAAATTTCTTCCATAATTCAATCAAATATATCGTAGATATTTTATTTATCATTTATTTAATTGGAAGTATATGACTTTGTGCTACAAATTCGAGTTTTAACTTGCTTTCAATTCTTTAGCTAAATATCCATATATTCTCTTGAAGTTCAAACTCTAGAGAAATCTTTGTTACTCTATTTTACACAAAAGCTTAAATGTTTAAATAGAGATCTGACTTTTATATTTGAATATGTAAATTGTAAAAATTTTGTCTTTCTTCGAAGCATTCCTCATTACTAATGTATCCTTTCTCATGTATTTTTTGTTGTAGAATTGTTTTTTTTTTAATTATTCCCAATAGTTAATTACACATTTTTTGATATACCCCAAACATTTATAATAATATATTTTATTCCCTGCACAAAGTTCCCTTAGCATGCTTTGACATTGTCACACTTGTCCAAGACTTTTTGAAACTTATCTATAGACTTTATTGCATGTTATTTGTCCATTTCCATATAGTGTTCTGCGTAGAGCTGACAAAGTTCTTAAAAATCAGTTAATTGTTTGGTTTAGTTTAGGTCCAAAAAAAATATTGTTCCACATGAATAGCAAAAGGTGCCATGCACCTGTAAAATTGATTAAACGCACACTGACACACTGACACACTTACACGTACACCTACACATACACACACATACTAATCTGCTGCTATTCTTGAACAACCTTCACAGAGCGCCTCCAGACGTGCTGGCATGTCCTGCTCCAATTGCCAGACGAGCTACACATCACTGTGGCGCCGCAATCCAGGTGGCGAGCCCGTCTGCAATGCCTGCGGCCTCTACTACAAGCTGCACAATGTGGTGCGTCCGCTGACCATGAAGAAGGACACCATACAGGTGAGTTATTCTTGTGGTTGCAACGAGAGAGCACTTTGATTAATCCCTGGCTGAATTTTCCCAATAGAAACGCAAACGCAAGCCGAAGGGCACCAAGAGCGAAAAGTCCAAGAAGATGAGAACCACGCAGGCGGCTGGATTGGTGGCCAGCAACAATGCCAATGCCAATGCCTGCCACAATGTAAGCATGCAGCTGGAGGGGCATGGTCAGCAAATGGATGTCAATGATGGTGGGTTCCAAGCTACAAATTGCAATTTGAATTCACTTTTCCACCTGCCACTCTCTCTATCTCTCCTTTTGTGTTGCACGCATGCCTAATTTGTGATGTCTGCTTTCTCTCTCTCTCTCTCCCCTCTCTAACCTGTCAGAAATGAAACCACTTGCATATATGTCATACGCATCGCAGCAACAGCTACAGCAGCAACAACTAAACACTGAGCAACATTCATCAGCGGCCAGCTCGCCGCAAAGCATGGCATCGTCCTCATTATCACCCAATGCAACATCTCAACAGCAGCAACAGCAACAGCAGCAACAGCAGCACCAGCAGCTATGCGCTGGCCTGGACATGTCGCCCACATCCTCCTATCAAATGTCGCCCATTAACATGCAACAGCAGCAGCAGCAACAACAGCAGCAGCAATCATGCAGCATGCAACATTCACCTAGCACGCCCACATCAGCCATGTCACAGTCCATTTATTCCACGCCATCGCCTACGCAGCTTCATAGCAACAACAATAATAGCAGCAACAACAACAACAACACATTGTTCAATCATAACAACAACAACAACAATAGCAATAGCAATGAGAATAACAAACAAATTATACAGAAATATCTGCAAGCTCAACAATTGAACAACAACAGCAGCAGCGATCAGCAATTGTTGGCACAGCAGCAACTTATGCACCTGATGCCGAACTCCATTACGGCAGCAACAGCAGCAGCTGCAGCAGCGGCAGCGGCGGCGGCGGCAATCAGCACAGCGATCAAATCGGAGGCGGTCACCAACACGACCAACACCAGCAACAGCAACAGCATCAGCAGCAAGCAATTAGCTGCCACAACAACAGCAACAACACCGACCGCGGCATCGAACACACTATCCTCTCTGAGTCACAACAGCAGCAACATTATCAGCCTGCAAAGTCCCTATCAACAGCAGGCGCTTGGTCAGACGGAGATGCCCTTGTGTAAATCGGCACTGAGCGGTCGCAGCTCATCGCCCTACTATATAAATCATCTAGCCGAGGAGGAGCAGGCGGCCATTATTAAACTGGAGCAGTTGGATCACCAGCAGCACCAGCAACAGCAGCAGCAACAGCAGCACCAACACCAACAGCAGCAGCATCAGCAACACGATGAAATGTTGCTCAGTCGCTCAACTTCCATCGATGAGCACTACGAGCTGGCCGCCTATCATCGACAGCAGCAACAGCAACAGCAGCTACAGCAACACACACTGCAGCAACATGTTGCACTCAGTCAGCACGAGCAACAGATTGCCAGCTATGCGCTTCACGCAGCCGCACAGCAGCAATTGCACGAATTTGGACGCAAATATGGCGTTGAGCGCGAGACAATTGTCAAAATGGAATAATGCCAGCCGATTCTGAACAGACACGCATTGTCATGACCAAAGATATTGTTGTTATACACATAAATCTCACAGCTCCAAAGAAATTTAAATCCATTTTAGCCTAGGCATTCGAATTGCGTTTATCAAAAGTTCTCAAAGAACTTGCAACAGCAACACGCAAACACACACACACATTCGTTTTGTATATACATTTAAGCAAATTTATGTGACATTTCCATAAGGTATAGAAAGGTCCCCACTACTCGAGTTTTGTTATTGTAAAATTTAGTTTAATTTTTTAGCGAAATGTCTCTGCAGCATAAAACATACTTGTTGTTGGATTTTTGTTGTTATACCCAATACTATATTTTCTATTATGAATATGTATAGCACACTTGAGATTTCTTACCATCAAATTCCACTTAGTTTCTTAAGCTATATTCATTAATCAGCAATAATGAAAATATCAAATAAAACAATAATCTCATGCAATTTTAGTTAATAATTTATACATTTTACATACAGAAATACAATATGTATGTATATATATTTAATGCCAAATTAAGTTTTAGTTTCGTACAACTTTTTACTTCATTTTGCAATATTAATATTATTATTTTTGAACAAATAAACGACAAGTATCCAAAAAAAAAATGTAAAGTTTCGTTTTATCTCTATATATAAAACTGTTTGTCCTGACTGACTGACTGACTGATTGGTGATCAACGCACAGCCCAAACCGTAAGAGCTAGGAAGCTGAAATTTTCACTGTAGTTCCCTTTGTAATGTAGGTGCACGTTAAGACGGGGTTTCGGGAAATTCCACCCGCAAGTGTGGAAAAATCGCGAAAAACGTTTGTATGTAACTTTTTTGTTTACCATCTGATCGGCCTCAAATTTATTTTCAAAGGTCTTTGTTCAAATTCATTTGAGGGGTGTTTCGCACTTTTAGGAAAATCCATTCCTCCTTGGTGGAAATGGAGGTCGAAGATTTGGTGGATGACGTTTTGTATTCAAATTTATTTCCAAAGATCTATAAGAAAAATCATTTGAGACGTGTTTCACATTTTTCGCAAAATCTAAACTCCTTCGGAGGAAAATGCATTTCAAAGTTTTTTTTTTTTTAAGTTTGTTTAATTCCCGTCCGATCAGTTTCAAAATCATTTTCAAAGCTTTTTGAAAACATTGATTTTATAACATACGTGCCACGGGCAAGGCCGGGCTATACCCGCTAGTATATAATATAATTATTTTTGGGGTGTTTTCTACTGGTTGACAGCTTGTTTTAATTTGTTAGCAAATGTTATTGCTGTAGAAAGATGTGTATTGGTGGGGTTTTTGTTTGTAGAGAGAAGGAAGAAATATATTGACATACCACGAGACGGTTAAATGTTTAAATATCAGAAACAATTTATCGAAATACTTGTTATCGATCAGCCTACTTCATAACTGCCGCCATATGCATCCGGAACGCAAAAAAGAGCTAACAGAGTGAAAACGCACTGTTAGACTTCTGTTGCTGCAATGGAACCTGCTTGACGAAAAGTGTTGCATTCTTTTGGGCTGCCAGCAAATTAAGCTTCTTAGAAATTTTGGTTTGCTAATTGGAGTTTTGGATCTTATAAGGCCATGCTCCGATTGTACATGTTATTAGTTTCAATTATTTTATCTATTTTTAAATTAAATTTATCTGAAAATTTAATGCAAATAATACACATTTCCAGGTATCATTTGAAAACTTGAACACAGTTTCTAATTAGAAAGCTGTGTACTCTGTTAAAAACTTTCTGCTGAATTATTAATAAATAAATAAATAAGACGCTATGAAAATTAGTCATATGATATGATGATCCGGTCGATATGGACTTTTTCACTGGCTGCTTACATTAACATGAAAAAAAAAACAAGAAATATGATATGATGAAAACAAATAAGATTTTTCTTTATTTATTTAATTATAAATAAACTATTTATAAAATATAGAATTTGTGACACAAATAGATTTACATTGATATAAAGGCTCCAATAAGGCTTTTTATGAATATATTAAATTTTAAGAAAAGTCTTTTAATATCTAATATGTGATCCCCAAATAATTTCTTTCAATTATTAATTCAGCATTTTCAATAATTTAAGTGGAACAGTTTTACAGTTTAAGATTTGAAGCAATTTTTGAGATTAAATCTAATTTATTTACAGATTGGCTTTGAATAATTCATAATATGTTAAGTACTGGGAGTCATTGAATAACAAATTAATAATGAATAAATGTGATTTTATTAATGAAACACGCATTAAACAATGGGATTCTCAACCGTTTTGAAATATAAAATGTTTGGTAACCAGTTGGCATTTCAGTTTTGAAATCTCTACATTTTCTATATACAGTCGCATAATGTTTTTATACGCCGCCATTTATGAATGCGACAATTCTATTGTGTGATAAGATAAGGTCGCATTCCCGGTTCTCTTTCTCTCTTTCGCTCTCGCTCCCTCTCTCTATATATATATACATATATGATTTTTGCTCTATTTTTGTGATTACAGTTTGAGTACATTTGCTTTCTTTTTATTGGAGTCACGCGTTACAAAAACAACAGCAAAATCAAAAAGTCACTTTTATGTGGCAAAACTGTTTTTTGTTTATTGGCGGCGCTGTTTGCATAAGCGAGATGGAGAATATTGCTGACTACGTGACTGTACTAAAGTCCCGCATATGTGGGGGGAACTTTGTGAACTGGCGGCTCGTGCAATGTTCAAGTGTGGCCTATGTTCGTATGTGTATGTGACTGTGTGTTGCAGGCGGTGCAGGGTTTGATTGATAGCTGATAAGGCGGCGGCAACGCGGCAGCGCGGCACAGTCACCTGGCCCGTCACCCATCGCCCCAATGCGTTCCATTTATAACGAATTAGTTTTGCCGCCCCTCAGAGATAAAGTCAACATTGGAATAGTCTCTTTGATAAACATATTGTCTGGGTTGGTTCGAACTATATTTTTGACATGACTGTATTCGATATAGTTAAAATTTGTATTGGCAACCGTTCTATTTGTTTATATAGATATTTCAATCAATGATTTTCGCTTACAATCTACAAACTGCCAGACTCGGCGCTGAAACTGGGGCTGGGTCATGGTTGCTATCAAAGTTTTGCTCAGATAATGGGATGATAATGCCCACTTGCTACATATGTATAGTATATGGAATGAAAGACATCGTCTTACATGATATCATATGTGTATACGCACGATAAGATATAGCTTCATTGCTTTGATTTCTGTTTTCCAATTGATATTTCTGCAATCCAATTGTTAATGCCGCTATCTTTTTGTATGGTTTAGTAACTGTTTTGCTGTGGGATCAGTTAGTTGAGGGCTGCCAACTCCTCCCAATATTAACAGCTCTGCATAAGCTAGTTAAGGACTGCCAACTCTCTATCCTCTCTCCAATATTAAGAGCACTTCACTGCGTGTGCCTGCAAATGAACATGTTCTCTACAATGATGACAGCTGCGCCACTTGGAGACTCGTAATAAAGCAGTGAAAAAAGCGACGGCAGCAGCAGTAACAACAACAAGATTAACAGCAATATGCGCTCGAAGTGCTGAAAACTTTTATCGTTGTCGCCATCTTGATTTCAAAATGGCGGAGCAGCTGTTACCACACGCGCAAACGAATACAGCAAGAACAAAAACAAGAACACGAACAACAACAAACTTGCACAATTACATACACAAGCATGAGAAATCGGTTGTGTGTGTGTGTGTGTGTGCGTGTGTGTGTGCGTGTGTGTAATTGTGCATATATGCGCAATGCACCGAATGTTAACAATTGTTGCCTTTTGTTTGGCTGCTTAATAAAATGGAACAAGGGTGGGCCATACAAAGTCCACTTTTGAAGGTTTACACTTTTATATGGTTTACAGAGAATAACAAGTCCTTGTTCTATAATCTTCTTACTGTTATAATTAAGCCCACTGATTAAGAAATAAATTAGTTTTATTAAACATCAGAGTAAATAAACTTTTTTGCTGTGATGATGTCTTTCTTCTCTCAGAGAAAGAAATTGTTGAATACTCTTAAAAACGGTTGAGATTTTCACAAAGGTAGCCGATAAAGAACTTATATTCTGTTTTATACAATTTTCTCTAGTCCACAGCAATCAACTTCTATTTGCATTCATTTAGACTAATCGAGACAATTCAACGAACTCGTCTGTTGGTTTAAAAATTCTCAGTAATAAGATGTTAAATAAATATGTATTTGTTTTTTTGTATTTTGCTATCCCTTTTTTCATTAACGTTGAACGTTTTTGCTGTCAGTTAGCCAAGTTTATTTTTGCGCACTCATATATGTAAGTACACACACGGCAAATGTCCATATATAGAGGAACACACACTGCTCGTAATTTATGATGAGTTAATTTTTCGCTTGACGTACAACTTTTATGGCACTGTTGTTTTTTTGTTCGCTTTTTTATTAGAACGGCGCATTTTCCTTCAGACTTGTTGCTGTAGTGTCACTTTATGATGTTGTGGCTCACAAACGTGAATTTATTATAATAATCATTATTTTATAATTATTATGTTGGCAATAATGACGGGCGAGATGGCCGGAACGGGCGGAACGGACGGATACGACGGTGCGTGTTTAAATGGAAAGTGCAAAACTTACTGTGCGAGCAACGAAATAACCGCACGGTAAGATATTATATTTTTTTACATGCCCATTGCCATAGATAGGCAATCTGTATCTGCGACCACGATAATGCTTATAAATAAGATAATATGATTTGATAATGGTATTTACCATATGCAGAAAGTAAAAGAAATGAGCCTGGCATAAATGTACATAAAAGTATCTGACAGATACAGGAACATGTTTTCAGCCTGCGGTGTGCCTAATTCAATACGTTGACGTCTGTTTGATTTACTTTGGCCTGGAATTCTTGGTAGAATGTCATGCAATGCACATAGTAGAACGAACATTGGGCTGCCTGCATTTAGTTGAGTTTTATGTGGAGACCGTTCCGGGTCTTTGGATGGTTATGCAAACAGTTTGCATTTAGAGCAGAGCAACATTACATTGCTCTGATTGTTGTTGTTGTTGCTTTTTGGTTGAGTTGCCTGCCACAGTTTCCTTGGCTGATGTCTTTCTTTGCCTCGTTACATTCTGTGAGCCTTATCGCCAACTGACGTTTGTACTTCAAATTGTGTACTTAAGATAATGAAATAAAGTAGAAGCAGTCGCAAAGCAACAGCAACAACAACAACAACAACAACAGCAACAGCAGCGAGCGACTGTCGACGCAATGACAGAACGACGACGTGACGTGACAACATGCCAAAGCAGCGGAGTCGGCAAGGGGCAGGCGGCAAGCGGCAAGTGGCACAAATGAAAATATGTAGACACACGGGCTTGTCATCAACATGGTCTTCAAGACGACGTCTTGGCAATTCGAACTTTGAAGACAGACTTTTGACATGAACAATATTGTTCGTTGAAAATATTCTTCGTATACAACAATTACAAGCGGTTT